ACAGATCCCATAGACGCTGAATACACATAGTATTTGAAATGCTGCCTTTTTTGCAGAAAAATGGCTTTGGAAAGTGTTTAGAATAAGCCCAATAGAATTGATCGACGGACATAGCAGTTTTGCTGTTTGGCACGCAGCAATAAATCATGGTACGAGCTGAATGAGTTTTCTATTAATATTTGATCTTTGAAACGGAAATTTGAAGTGCAGTTTTTTTTCTGAATTTGATTGGAATATAATAGTACTGCAGGATCTGGAACTCGAGCACAGAGAGTATAGCTTGCTTCACAGCTGGTATGGCCTCTGGTATTTCTGTGTTCCTATGTTCTGGGATGAAGTTTGTGGGGACAAACAGGTAATATGAACAATTGTTATTTTTATATGCTTATGTATGTGTGTGTGTACATATAAATGAAATATCCTCTTTACATAAATCAGTACATCAGAAATGTATTGATTGAGTAGAGATTTACTAAAACGTAGTGTGATGATGTGAAGTCCCTTTGTCCTTCATTGATGCATCATGTCTTATTGTAGGATGTGCCTTTGTATTGACTGGCAGTATACTAGAAAACCTGCAGTGCATGAATTATTTAACCATGTCAGAGATGGTAAAATATGAACATGTTTTTTGAAGTCATACTATGTTGAAAGGTAAATTTCAAGCGTGTTATTCATAGTGTTCAGATACGCAGTGAACAAATGAACACAACATAGTATAACAAGTGTCAACATGAGGAGAATGGATTGCTACACAATGGAAGTATTCATATACAACTTGTGTATTTTTTTCCTATCTATTCATAATGTACGTGGAAACCCAGGCACATACCACATAGTATGCAATGATTAAGATGACTCACTGTTGTTGATTATTACCTTGCATGGCAGGTACCAGTGGGGATAAAGAAACTGAAGGGTCTGCCTTGTATTTATTTTAATGACCTATTGAAAAAAGAAAATTGGCTTACAGTTATGATACAGTAATGTTCTACTGATAGTCCATAATATGCTGTTAGCTAGGCTTTCTGCTTTTAAAATTCAGTTAGGATTGATTGCTAAAATACATAGCTCAACTTGGGGGCTGCATTTGTAAAATAATCATAGAAGGGTCAATATCCTATATAGAAAGTTGATTTAGTGATGAATAGACAGTGGGATATTATAGAGATAGCTTCTCTTTGTCTTGTGCTTTATATGTTAAAGGCTGCTGTTGAATAATGTCTTTGTTTGTTTGGGTATATATATGTATATATATGAAGGGAATCTAATTTTTATTATTGCTGCTGAGACTGCTTTTCAGGTTAAGTTTATTGATAATTAAACAAGTGTCATTATAGCATAGAAAATTCCACAAGTACAGAATCAGTGATACACTATACAGTCATTGTTGCATTCATCATCAAGTCACATATGAAGTACATTCAATCGAAGGAAGAAGTACTTAATCATGGGATTCAATTTTTCTTATCAAAATATAAGCGAAGAGAAATGTTTTGGTGTGCGCATCTTTTAACGATTACCTATAATGGTAAATAATGTTGCTAGTTGATTTTCATTCTGAATTATTAATGGAAAATGATAATAAGTGCTGAGAATACTGTTTCTTTGAGATCTTAAAAAAGGAATACATAGTGTAACAGTAAAAACAAAATGTCACAGTTCAGCTTTTTAAATAGAAAACAGTACTGAGACAATATAATGATAGAAAATGTCCATAATGTTTTATGAAAGCACAGTATAATTTGTGAGCATGTGGATGATGGTGATGATCTCATCATATGAGCAGCATGTGGTCCAACACCTGTATCAGTCTAATAAATAGCCCCATACTGCTTCTGATCATAGAACCACCATTTATCATCTGCTATGTTTTTCTTGGTTGCTTAAATTTAATCAAATGACAGTGCCTTATTGAAACTGATATATTTTCCATGATTAATCAACATTCATGTATAATTATGCTTTGTTAGCTGCTACTGTTACTTCTGGATATTGGGGTTTATAAACCATAGAGACCATAATATTATTAAGTGTGTAATATTTTGGATGATTAAGAGTTGTCCATGCATAATTAAAAAATACTTGTTCTGGTCCGACTGGTGTCTTTGGACGCTGGTTTTTCTGGCCTCTCGGGCATGTGTATTTTTGTTGAAAGTAATTTCCTTTGTGGCTTACCATCTCCCTGGGTAGTTTTAATTGAAATACTCCAAGTGTCACATTGGCATAAGCAGAGAATATTGATACCACAAGGCCAAGAGTTTTTCAGTATCTGAATAGATATGGAAAAAATATTGAGACAATAGAATCATATGAGAGTTATATTTTATACATGTGGGAAACTCAGTGCACTGATCAGGATTATAAAACAGGTTAACAACCACAGGACATAAGAATTTTACCAAATATTGTCTGTAGTGCTAATAGACAGATAATCTAGCATTGATCTACAGAATATCTGCTGGCTGACTGGAGCTGAAGAGCCACTAATGAGAAGAAGCACCGAGCAGACATTCTTGGCATAACTTGGGTTAAAAAGTACAAAAGGAAATCTGGTCTTGATAGATGTTTATGAACATTTTTGAGGAAAGGAAGTGAACAAGGAAATGAGGCACCTTCACACTTTGTTTCATCTTTCTTTTAAAGTTGAAATTTAAGAAGAAATATCCATTTTGGCCTTTTTAATGATTTAACTTTGTACATTTTCTTAGTATGTTTAGGAGGCAGTGGTAAGTGGACGTTTCTATATTGGTATTGCCTGAATATTACTAGCGTTTTGATATATGCTTTAGTTTGAAAATCTTTCAATGATTTTACTTCAATTAAGTAAAACGTGCATCTTTAACGAGTGTCAGTTTTACGTTGCAAAATTTTAGAGCCTGGAGTATAATTTTATGACACCTGGGAACTGGGATAATTTAAAAGTAGATGAGGGCTAAAATGTCCCCAAGGTAAACAATATTAAGTCTATAGATTGTGTGCTGTTTTTTTATGGGGTACTTGAAGGTTGATAGATGGGAAAATATATTGTTGCAGTCATTTTAGAAGATAAATGCTATTTTTACCTAGGCATCCTCATGTGAAGCACCATATTTTTTGTATATGATGTTTTTTCTCAATTTTACGTACTCCACCTGGGCGGCAGCTTGATGCTCTGCAGGTGACATAAGGCATTTGATCTGCAAAGACATCTTCCTAAATGTATTACCTTGAAAGGGTTGAGAACTTAACCCAATTAGGCCTCCCTGTGACAGAAAGCGCAGTGATTAAAGTTTACAGTTACTTGAGTTCTTTGTTGAGGTTAAGTGACAGAGCGTAAACCCCTGTAAACCCTATGAAGAATTTCATGCTGTTCTTCACGCACGAAATACTGCACAGTCATATATGTAAAATTGTGGCCTGCCTCAAGTGTGAAGGTTGGCCAGCTGTCTCTGGTTACCAGTTATTTTCTAGGAATTTCTGGAAAATGTTTCTCAGGCTGTTGGTGTGGAATACCACAAAAGAGGGTAAGAGCTTGTGACCTGTTAGATAAATGTGTAGAAAGAGGGGGAAGAGTTTCACCTAGCAGTAGCTATGTGAGGTATATATGACCTTGTAGTCTTGGGGTGAATTTCAATGTAGAAAACACAAGGGAATTTGGCTAACGTGATATTCTTAGTTTATATATATATATATATATATATATATATATATATATATATATATATATATATATATATATATATATATATGCACACAGTAGGCTAAAGGGATAAAAATACATTCTACAAGATTTAACTAGATTATTTTGATAGGTTGTCAGATTGGGATAGATCTAGGGTATGTGATAAGTCGAGTATTTTGATGTTGTCATGGTTGTTGTCATATTGTTGCATCAAACTAATGCATTTTGTGAATGGTTCACTGCAGGTTTTGTGCCTTTGTTTTAGGCAAGCTTCATTACACATATTTTTTTTTGTTCTGTTACCTTGGATATTAATGGCCTGACGCCAGTCTCTCAACTGTAGACTGGTCATGGTTTGTTGGCCACAGTAAAAATATGCATGTCATTATATCACTGTTGTTAACATTATAAAGAGAAACATGGGGAAACAGAATAGAAAGAAATGTGTAGCATTGACTGAAAGCGTGTTTGACAACATTTTTTCAGCATGTCAGGGACAATAATATTCCATAGCAAAAATTGTCTTATCTCATGGTAAATTATAAGGTGTGAGATGCTTTTCTTGCTTTTATCTTGTATCACTATTGGTGCATTGGGGTCTGTATAATATGGGGGCGAGTCATATAACTATACCTTAGATTAAATTAAACAGAAAGATGAGTACTGGAATGTGTTCTTTTTTATGTTTAAAACACATTTTATCATGTAATGTAGGGATAAAAAAATATATAATGCTTAATGTATCAGAAAAGGCATACGCAGGATATATCAACGCAAAATTTTTTTACCAAGAAACTGGTGCAGTGGCAGCAACATATCCACTGCTGTTATAATGGACAAGTCTTGACTGAGAAAAAACAGAGGCTAGTGTTTAAAAACACAGCTGACATTGTTTTAAGGTTCATGCCACTGCTGTGCCATGCCTTGAGGGAGGTGTCAGGGTGAACTACGTTGAACAGTGGTTTTTCACATACATATCACATTTCTCAAAGTAGGAAAATATTAAAGTTGATGCTTTGATATTTTTTATGGAAGATAATAGACATGGCCAAGATTTAGATTGTGCTGACTTACTTCAGTGGTGCAAATATATATTTAACTCTGCAGTAATGGATGGGTTTTTGTTTATTTGGTAATAAATCTTGTAAAGGAAAGATCTTCTAACAAGTTGTAGTTTAATTATTTCAAGTACTGATTGTTGAAGTTGCTCATTTCTGAGCGGTAAATTAAAAAAAAAAAAAAAAGAAGAAGATTTTTAGGGCTAGATAATAAGCTGCCAATTAAAGAATCCTAATTTATGATGAGTAATAATTATTATTATTTTGTGACCTTTCAGGTTCATCACTGCCAACTTCTAAGACCAGCAATCTCCGTGAGTCTGGAACCACACGGTCCACATCCCCTGGTGTTACTTCCAATATTCCAATCCCTGGGGGCAGAGGTCTGACTGGCAGTAGAACTCAGACTTCAGACAAGAACGCTAACCGCCTTCCCACGTCAACAAGTACCAGTTCGGCAAGTTCTGGCTCTTCATTAGGGAAAGGAACCAAGGGCGTGTCTCTTGGGGCTCAGAAGTCTGCAGTTTCAGGAAATAAGAACTCTATGTTGGACAAGTTCAAGTTCTTTAATTCTAAAGACAAAAGTAAAAGTGGAGTAAACAAAAGTGTGTCTCGGAGTACAACAAGCTCCTCCAATAAAAGTGACTCTGACCGTTCCTCACATCGGAGTAGCACTGGTAGTGGGGGCGATGGATCATCTTCCATTGTTTCTGATGATCCCAAAGGTGTTCCAAAGCCTGCTGGAAAGGTAGTTAAAAAGACCATTGGTCGCAGTGGGGTCGGAGCTGTGCGGTCACCCAGTTCTTCTAAAGTGAGTGAGGACAGACGGACTACACCGCCAAATTCTGGCCGTGTGTCACCAGCTACAAGTTACAAATCTACAGCAAGTGCCAAAAGTGATAGGACTTCAGCCAGTGCACGCAGTGGACAAAGCAGTCCTGGCAGCTCAAGGAAATCAAAAATTGCAAGTTTGATTCCTAAAAATAGTACCCCTGGTAAAGTGGGGAAGACGTCCCCAGTGAGTAGTCAGACTAGTATCCCTACTGCATCTACAGGCATCCCAAAACCTGGGAGTGTGGTAGGGAAAAGTACAAAAGGGGCCAGTAGGGAGGACCTGAAAGGTCCTAGCAGTATTAGTAATAGTAATAGCAGTGGTGCTGCTGCTGGGGGAAGCACAAAGACAGGACTGGCTGCTCCACACAGTAGACCTTTGCTGGGCACCTCTGCAAGTTTGAGGGCATCCCAGCGAGCAAAGGCCCTGGCTGGTGGCTCAAAGAGCAGTGGCAGTCAGCTTCCCCCACCTGGACACATGCAGGGAATGCAGACCTTCCAGCAGCACCAACAGCAGACTCCAGGCAAGAGCCTGCTAGACAAAACACATGCTGATCACAATGCAAATACTCAAACAACTTCTTCCAGCAAGGTACAGGCGAGGACTGTTCCAACATCAACAGTGCAATCTTCTGCTCAACAAAACAATAGCACTGCTGTCCCCTCTGCAGTGGGTGCTGGACACAAAAATGCCTCCTCGGCGGGGTCTGGTCACCACCATGCTGGCCAGGGGTCAACTGCAAATCACAGTATTAAAACAAGCAGCTCACAGACCAATAATGTAAGTGCCACAAGTAGTGTGAGCAAGTCTAGTGGAGGCACACAGACTGGAAGCAGTAGTCTGGCTCAGCCAAAGATGGTCAGTAGTGGAGGCACACAGACCAACTTATCTGCTCTGCAGAAAATTCACAGCCAGAAAAGTGGAATACCAAAGCAAAATATAGAGGACAGTGTAAAATCAAAGAGTAATATACCAGGGAGAAGCTCGGGCAGCAGCAGCCCTGCACTCAAACGCAAAGATCTCAATAATGTTCGGTCTTCTCCATCTTATAGTATGAGTAGTGGAGACTCCTCATCAGGACTAAAACGCAGTGACTCTTCCAGTCCGTCAACAAGTAAGAGCACGACATCTTCAAATGACAGTGTAATTTATAAGCCCTCCAGCTGTGACGATATGTCTGGTGTGGAAAGTGACAGCAGCCCAGGCAGGTCTCAACAGTCCAGTAACAGTAGAACAACTGCCTGTGTGTCAAACTCTGAATCTAAACAAAATGCTCAAAATGCTCAGCTCAGTGGGGTAGCCAACAGTGACAGTATAAACAGTAGTAGTAACACAAAAGTTGAGACCACATTCAGCAATGATGTTAAAACGGAGTCTTTGGGACCCAGCACTGAAAGCAGACAGCAAGGGGGCACCCCACCAAAACAGCCCTCCAAGGAAACCACAATAGGGGAAGATTTAGAAGGAGGTGCTGAGGACACAGTTGACATCAAACCCATGCAGCCTCTGTCACGATCATACTTGAAGGGACTGTCTGGTAGTGGTCAGAAGGGACCCCAAGGTAGTGGACCCATTAATGGCCAGAGTGTACCCCACTATCTCAGCACCACATCAAGTAGATATGGGATTAACAAATCCTTGCTGGACCCAGTCAAGGTGTATGCTAACTCACAGAGAAGACTGGGCTCTAATTACGGAATGTCGTCAGATTATTCCGACTACTCTGATGTTGAGTGTTATGCAGATATGACAGCAGGGTACATGTCAGATGGAGACATCTTGAAGAGTAATAGAATTGATGACTTCAGTGGTTATCTCAGTGAAGGTGGGGCTTCCATGTATGCACGGAGAATGCAGCAACGATTCCGTGAAGGGATGCAAGCTGTGCGGGAATGTATGCAGAAGAGTGCTGGGCTGATTGACGACGATGATGATAGGTAAGTTTCTCTGGATTTTGTGCTGGTTGGCATGTATCTGTTTCTTTTTATTATTGTAAATAAAACTACTTGAATAATACATATGCAATTGCTGTGATGATATGCTATGATTATTTGATGCGTTCTTCAGTCCTTTAGTTATGTTCTTTGAAATATTGGATTTGTGCATGTAAAATTGTTATGTTTATTCTTATGCTATTCAGTTTACTCAAAAAACAAAAATGTGTTGATTTGTTGAACTGTTTTTCTGTCTTTATAATGACAGTGAATGTACATTTAGTTTCAGACTAGAGCACATTCCAACACAATCCTGGCTGAGACATTTCATCCCACCTAGCGCAATACACTGATCCAGTCAGTCTTCTTGACTCTGTTGATAAACTGAGTGATATATCATTTCGACCGTGCATATTGATATTTAAAGAAAAATAATTATTTTCAGATGCTGTGGTCACCTTATTATGTTTCAGGCCATCCTTGTGAAGTGATTTATTGTCCAGGTATCAGGGTCTCAGACATATGAAGCAGCTCCCCCTTGCTTACATGGTGATACCTGCATCTTGTTAACCTTTTGTTAGGGTGGAAGCTGAAATTAAAGGCTTGTGTCTTAGGAATTAAATTTAGCCCCTGACTGCTGTACACGGCTATTCTTAGAGGTGAACATGTTGAGTTGTGCTGCAGGCTGCCTAGACAATGGTGTACAGGCATTTGGTGTTTTCTTTCCTTTGTTCTCATGTTAATGGGTACACAGGATCTTCTTGTTGTTAAAGATTTCAAAAGGATCTAAAAAAAGAAAAAAATAACCACCCAAGGTGATGTGTTGAAATAAAAAAAAAATTAGCATTATTGAATGTAATTATCTATTGATTTTTTTTAGAAAAAGGTTAATGTTTTACTCATATGGCCATGTCACTGGAAAAAATGTAAAAAAGACATATTATTTGTTAAGTTCAGAATGTTTTTCCTGAAAAAGAATAAGGAAACATTAACATTTCAGCAAAGAAAATTTTTAAAAAAGCATATTATTATTAAAGAAATTCATCTAACAAGAATAGTGAGAATTATACTCTGCCAACAGTAGTCAATAATTTGACTACTTTTTTTCATGACTTTCCACCAAGGAAATTCTGCATTGCTCGGTGCATTGCATCCTGAAATGGCCTGTGTTTGTGTCAAGTTGACAGCAGTGTCACTGGGGTCTGGAGACATTTGATCCCAGCTTTAGAAGATCTGGGTGTCCCACTGGGACCAAATGGACTGGTAATGATAGGATTTAAGAAGATGAACATTCATGTGGAAAGGTAGATAGATCCTGGCGAGATTTAGGTGGTTGTTGCTAAATATGAAGCGCCTTTAATAAAGGTTGAGAAAAAAAAGGATATGGCTGCTCCATTTTGTGACTTGTTCAATAGAATGGTGTATTATAAACTGTTAAAAGGTACTCCACATCAATGGGAATGAAGTTTTGTAGTTGTGATGGAATTTTAATTTGGTAGTTTTAAAGATGTGTTCTCGTGGCTTTGGCAAAAAGTTTTGTAGCCCTATCTTCAGGAAGCTCAATTTCAATCCACTTTTAATACCTCTATTACCTTGCCACCATTGTGTTGTCAGCTCCTCTTGGGCATTTCTGAAAAATTGCTTCGTGTGAGGAGGTGGGAGAATCTGCATCTGCCTCCTCAAGTTAGGTATAAAGCATTTTTCTTATTTTTTAAAACGAGTGAAAGCACAGCTTAAGTTTCTCCACCACACCCACAATTATTAACCTACAGAAAATAAACAGGTGCACCTGAAGCCATTTACAGGGGGCATACTTTCAAATTTAGACTAATCAGAAAAAATCTTACTAAAGAAGCATTTCAAGAGAATATTGGCCTTTTTTTTCAAAAAGCCATGCCTTTCTTCTGCTTTAAAAATACTCGACTAAGTGTGAAATTGATCCAGGTATACCTAGGATGACCCTATTTCACCTACAACACAAATTCAAATAGAAAATTTCTAAAAATACAGTCACCACCTTTAGTACTCTTTTCCACCCCAAATCCTGACCCCCTTCATGAGTGAATCATAAAAATTGCTTGGGTGATAAAATGAGCTGGTTTTGTATTAGAGTTTCTCGTGGATATGCATTCTACCCCGCCTCCTCCCTCTCCAGCTCACTTCATACCTGGAGTGATGATCACCTGTGTTTAAATCTGGTCAAGTGCCATAGATGCCCCAAAGATAAACTTTTTTCCAAGCCCCACCAAATAACATGGTTCTCAATTGACTTTGCTGGTTTGGTTGTTATTTCAGAGCTTGTTAAAGCTAGCTAATGGTGTAAGGTAGACATGTCCTTCCCCTCTAATATAAACATCTAGTGTGCTGCATTTTTGCTTATTTAAAAACCGTGCCAAAATATTTTTTGTACTTATAGGAACTGTTGTTTAACCCCTTCTCAGTATAAGTTGCACCTGTATAGGAAGGGAGCACATTCACTTTGCATGCTGGCTATTTTAAACTGTTGGAGAGAAAAGTTCAGAATAGTAAGTGTCTATTATTTTTTCAAATAATCTGTAATTTCTTTAATTTTGGGTATGATTCTTTGGTAATTACAAGTGCGATTGTTTCGAGAATGCATGTTGTTCCTACATTAAGGTGCTAAAGTATTTTGTCTACAATACAACCTACAGTACATAAACCATATTTTTTTTCCTGCTTCTTGAAGACAAATGGAATTGAAAGGTTTTCATGCTTGTTGCTCATTGTGTCTTGGTTGGCTGATATGTTACAGACTGCATGTCTCATGGCCAACTGTGAGCTCATTTGATTCCTTGTTCTGATTGTAGCACTGGAATCTATTGAAAGAAATGAAAAGTGTGATTTGTGAAGTTGTTAACTACACATTAGAGCCGACACACACAACCCTTGACTTTGAATTCTCTTGAGGAAAAAAGAATGTTTGAGTGTTTGCACACTTGTGAACAATGCATTTGCATTGACATGTATAATTATGTAGTATTGAAATGTACGGGGTTGGAGAGAAAAGAAACAGAAGTTTCGTGAAAATGTGAATTTGAAAACAATACATTGGAAATGACAGCCACATCTTACATATGTTTCAACATTGCAGTAATGAGAAGGCGTGATTAGTGTGAGTTGCAGTTGGCCCTCTTCATAGATAGTTGTTTAGGATAGACACATTGCAGAGAAGGTATTGACAGCACTTTAACTTTGATCTTGTATACGTAAAAAAAATAAGTAGACATCAAGCTAGTGAGGCTGTCAGATACGCAGACATTTATTGCACACTATGGGAACTCTTTGGAGTAAATCTCCACAGGATTTGACAACCTCGTCTCATCGGAGATTTTCCAGGTATTTTCAGATCTATTTAAAGGACAGATAAGAAGAAGGGCTGCAGTTTTATTAAATGTTTGTATACATGTTGATATTTATGAGGCTTTCTGTAGTTTTATGTGTGACGCTGGGTTTTTATGTGCAGTGCCTTTCATTGAACATAAAGGTAACATGGCGTAATGACTTTCTCAATTCAAGATGGTATTTAGTTCATACTATTAACACTATGACAAAAATATTGTTTGGTTAACTAGCACAGTTTTTAAAGACCATAGAATGCCATGGTACAATGTTGAAACAGCAGTAGGAGCAGTTGACTTCACCAGCATTGCCAAGAGGACAAGAGGAAATAAAGATATATTTTTATATTTTTTCGTGGCATTTTTATCTCTTTTGTGCTACAAGAGATGATGATGCTGTGGTGAATGTCTTGTGTAGGAGGAATTTAGATCTCCAGTTTCAAATGTCAGCAATCTGTGATGTGAATAAAATAGACTGCAATTTAGAGGCAAACATTTTTCAAAGGTCAAATGGCCATCAATTTAGACTGTTGTTTCCAAAATTTTATTACTGTTTAAATGGGTGTTTTACTTAGTCAAGGCACCATTTTTATGGGCATTTCAGTTTTTCCTATGTCCAAAATCAGATATTTTATGTTTACTCAGGCTGCATCTGTCCCAAAACTGTGCTACCTGTGAATGCAAATATTCAAAGCAACCCAAGTTGAATGCATTACCTTTTGCAAATAGTAATGCAAGTTAACTTTACCTTGCCATGTTAACATATGACTTGTGCTTGGTTAGCCACTGATGATGCTATGAACATTTAGAGAAAATATATGATTGAAGGGGCCATAGTTTGAAGATTTTTTCTCTACGAGTTGACGGCTGAAGCTTGATTAATGAAGAGTGCCTGATCTCTTGACCCATGCCAAACTGACCACAAAAACAATAGCTACACTCAGGGTTGTAGGAAGTGGGTGGGATCCAGCGTCAAGTACATTAGGAAGTCCAGAATTTGGTCAGATTTGTTTTTCTGTCTTTAAACTTGTGTTTAAATATATAAAAATGATTCACTGCTGATATTTGGAAGAAAAATTTTATCATTTAAATGGTTATGATAGAAAATGTGTGTATATACCCAAAGTTTTATCATTCTTTGAATTAAGATGGAATCTCGATCTGTGTGCGGTATATTTGACAATTGTGAAAAATGCCAAATAAAGAATTGGCTATTTGTTTTCTAGATAAGTTACAAGAGTGACTGCTGGGGATTTGACTTGATAAACAGACTTTGGTGTGTAAAGTATATTGTTATAATATTCTCCAAACACTTGGCCATTCACTTTTGTAATTGAATTTCTACACGGCTAAATTTAGCCTAAGTATTAGCCCTCGCCAAATTAATTCCAGCACTGCACGTGCTGCAGGCTCATTTGAAAGTACTTAAACTTTTGCTGGAAATTGAAAAGCCATCACAAATGAGGAATATACCAGACTTTGATACTTCTGTTTTTATTTGATGATTTTATTAGAAATCCCCTACAGCAGGATTAATTCCAGAGTCATGCATTTTCAATTTTGAAATATATATATATTTTGGTCAGCCACTTAGTTCTGCAGCCAATTACCATGTGAGTGAAAGGCACAGGGCACCTGTGAAGA